TCCACACGTGGAGTTGGACCTCTACGGCTCAGCGTTCAGTGGAGCCGGCCACAGTCCCTCACCATGCCTCCCCCAAGGGGGTAAGCACCGAGGGTCAGAAGGCACATTCCTGCCAGTCCTCAGAAAGTCACGAACTTCCCCCTCGCCCTAGGACAGTAGCCCCCAAACTGTCCCTTCCACACAGTTTTCCAATCCCCTTCCCGACTACAGCCTGCAGCCCTGGAGCTCTTCTCCCAGACACCACCTGTGACCTCTGCCTAGCTGAGGCACTTTCTGCAACCTCTCACTCAGCTTCCTGCTCTTTTAAACCAGAAGCAGCTGTAACCCCTCATACATTGTGCTCCCATCACCAACGTCTCTAAATTATTATTTATTTAGAGTTTATTTATCTCTTCTTTGAGAGTTTCATACAGGTATACTTTGAGCATTTCCATCCTTTGCTTTCCTGAACTTCTCTCAGGCCTCTGTCTGTGTTCCCCTTCCAACTTCCTATCATTTTTTTTCTTTCTTTATAGCTCACTAAATCCAATTAGTGCTGTCTATATGCACATGGGGTGTAGGCCCAGCCACTGGAACTTGAGCAATTAAGGAGAGCTGACCCTGACCTCTCAGTCACCAACTGCCAATAACTCTCAGCTAGGGGGTGGGGCATTGTGAGCTCCTCCCCTATCCACTAGGCATGCTTTTTAAAAAAAAATAAAACCTTTGAAACATTTTTAAATATATTTTAAAATAAACTGTGAAATATATTTCTATTAGTATATTTTACTTAAGTATAGTTAACTAAGGCAAGAATCAACTTTCTTTTTTATCAGCTTTTAATTACCAAACTTGATAAAAAGTTCTCATGTTAGTTTTGAATTAATTAAAATTTAAAGAATATCTAGAAATTTAATTATTTCCACTGTCCTTCTTTTCATAGGCTAAAGGAACAAATCTGTTAGTGACTACCTGTAGCAACCCAAAGATGGTTTAAACTTCCAAACACATATTATGTCTTAATTATTCTGATTTGGGGAACTGAATTTGGGAAAGGAGGAATCAAGAAAAGTTGTTCAAAGAGACATGATATGTCTTAAGTATCTAAAGTTGCTCAAAGAGACATGGTATGTCTTAAGTATCCATAGAAATAATTGTTGGTAACATTGCAAACCACAGTTAACAAGAATTACTAGGACCCTAATGTTTATTTTTGTTAAAGTAAGGAATCTTTCTGAAAATAATTTTTTTTGGTCTTTTTGAGACAGGGTCTCCCTGTAGCTCCAGCTGTCCTGGAACTTACTATGTAGACCAGGCTGGCCTTGAACTCACAGAGATCCCCCTGCCTCTGCCTCCCGAGTGCTGGGATTAAAGGCATGCATAATCAAAATTTTTTTGATTGATAAAAGAATTATTTTATATGTATTTTTCCTGCATGTATGTATCCCCGTGTGCATGGTGGTGCCCATGGAGACCAGAAAAGGGCGCCAGATGTCCTGGAATGGAGTTACGGATGGTTGTTAACCACCATGTGGGTACTGAGACCTGAACCCCTGTCTTTTGCAAGAACAGTCAGAGCTTTAATCAACGAGCCATCTCTCTAGCACCCTCCCATGAAAATGATTTAAAAGGATATTAAAAGACACAAAATTTAATAACATATTTTATTGACAACAATATTTATTTGTAAGTACATAAAATAATTGTTTTACATTAAAGACCCAAATTCTAATTTTACTTATTTTGTTTCCCATCCAAGTACTAACCAGGCCCAACCCTGTTTAGCTTCTGAGATCAGATGAGATCGGGCATATTCAGGGTGGTATGGCTGTACAATAATTTTACTTATTTTGTACATTTTTTATGTAACAATCTGCAACAGAGGTTGTTTTAACATGCCTTTATGCTTATATATCCACACACACACACACACACACACACACGTGCATTTAAAATCTTTGGCACATTTCTACTGTCCCACCAGCACCCCACCTAGACAGGCAAATGTGCTCCTATCCTTAATAAGAGAAGTTTCTCTTTGCAGTGGATAGCAGTAAAAACAGAGATGTACTGTGGCTGAAGGTGCTGAGCGTAAGTGACAGTTGAGTGTGTAGCCCTAAACAGGACATTCCTAGCACCCTCTCTAAGGCCCAGAGAGCATCAAGGAAGAGGGAAAATGTAAGAGCTGGAGGGTGGGGAGAAGGCCTGAGAAGTGCTGTGCTCCTGACATGATATAGGCATTGCAAATATCTCACAGCAGTTGCAGTGGTCTGAGCTGGGCCTGCACAAGACTGGGTCTGTGGGCAGCCAATCATGGATCCAGGAGGGGCTTGGGGATTCTTCCCCTTCCTGATGAACTATTGGCTACTGATGGATTCTGAGGGTGGGACAGTCACTGTTTTCAGTTCTGCACCCACTGATGAGGGGCTCCTGTGGATAGTTCCAAACCAGTGGTCACACAGAGTTCCCGGTTAAAATCACCAAACAAAAAGACATGAATGCAGGAAAGGGACTTAGAGGGATGGAGGTTGTATGTGTGACAAGAGTGGGAGAAAGACAGGAGTGTGGGGTGAGAGAAAACAACACATCATATACATGTATGAAATTGTCAAAGAACAAATTTAATCAATTAAAAATGTTTACAGCTTTAAAATTAAGTCCATGAAATAAAACAATGTGTATATCATATTAATTTACTCAAGAAACTTGTCGACTTCACTGTTTCTAAATAAAAATCATAATTATTGTCATATTATCTTATTTGTACTTCTTTGTATTTAGTTAACTTCCCAATATTCTAACAAAATGCCTTAGGCAATTAACAATTGGCTCAGGGTTTGAGAGGTTCCAGCTCGTGATGAAGCAACCCCACACTGGCACACATTATGGCAAGAGGATAAGGAGAAGCAAACTGCTCACCTCATCCACAAAGAAGCAGCACTAAAAATGAGCCTGAGCCCCACATGCTCCTTGGGAGGTTTACCCCTTATGACCTAGACTTCCCACTAGGTCCTGGCCTCTAAAGATCCACAGTGCTTCCCAATAGTGCCACCTTGGGGAATAAGCCTTTAATACATAGACCTTTGGGGAACACTATAATCAAACCATAGCATTCTGTATGGGCCATTTACATTAATCTGTGACCAGAAAAATCAACCTTCCCTGTTATTCCACACATTAAACATTTTAAAAGCTATTTTCTGTCTACTAGCATTTAGTTCATACAATTACATATATGTCATGTGTGTGTGTGTGTGTTTCTGTGAGCACATGGAAAGAATGTGTATTCTGCTTTTGCTGAATGAACTGTTGTTTTAGTTTTTCTGTATCCTTCCTAAGTTTCTGTCTACTTGCTCTGTCGATTGTTGAGAAACCTTAAAGTCACTGTGATTTGTTTGTCTCTCTTTTCAGTTCTGTTTTGCTTCCTGTATCTTGCTGCTCTGCTGTTTGGTGCATCCCATTTAGAACTGATATGTCTTCATAGTGAAGAGATGATCTTATCAGTAGGGAATATTCCTTAGTTTTCTGTTTTCTAGTCATTTTCTTTGCTCTTAAATCTCTTTATTTTATACTAACAGAGCCATTTCTGATTTGTTTTGAATTGAATATTTATTTTTCTATCCTTTTTCAACCTGCCAATATTGTTATTTGAGGTTAGTTCCTTATGTGTAGTATCTAGATAGGTCTTTCGTTTTTAAGTGTTCATATAACACATGCACTGCCAGTCCATTTTTTATTGGTAAATTTAGACAACTGATAGTGTATTTATTAACATATTGGGTTATATCTCCTTTTTCTATTTATATTATTTTCTTTTCTATTTCTATTCTATTTCTTTTCCTTGCTTTCATATTTGTTATCTGAACACTTAAAAATTTCATTTCAACTCATTTAATTTCTTAGTATATATTTTTTGTATATCTCTTTAGTTTATGCTATTGAATTACATAAACATGACTCATCGCAATCTATTAGCATCATTTTGTTGGTTCAAATGAGGTATAGAGGGGCTGGAGAGATGGCTCAGTGATTAAGAACACTGGCTGTTCTTGCAGAAGACCAGGGTTCAAATCCCAGCACCCACATGGCAGCTAACAACTGTCCATAACTCCAGTTCCGACAACCTCTTCTGTTCTCCGTGCCCATTGCACGACATGGGTGCACTTATCTACATGCAGGCAATACACACATACACATAAAATAAAATAATAAATAAAATAAAAAACAGATTTATAAATGAGGTCATGCATATACATAAAATAAAAATAATAAATAAAATTAAACAGATTTACAAATGAGGTGTAGAAACCTTACCCCCTTTACATGTCTTTATTTTCCCTCATGTATGATATATTCTTAAATAATTCCTCTACATTCATTTAAAACTACATCAGAAAGTATTATAGTTTTTGCTATAAGCATCAAATGTAACATAGACTCAAAAAGAAAAGAAACGCCACTGTAGTTGAATATTTTTACTTTTCATATTTGTTATTTTTTTGATACTATAAGGTTATTTAGTTTATTAATTACTTCCTGCTTAGAGAACCTCCTTTAGTTTTTCAGGGTAGGTCTGCTAGCCAACAATTTCTTAATTTTCTATCATCTGGGCAAGTTTTATTTCTTCTTCATACACACGAGGAGTATTTTTGCTAGCTACAGAACTATAGACTGAAGGGTCTGTCAGCACCTGAAAAATGTCATACGACTTCTGCTGTCTAGTGGGTGCAGGCTACAGTACTACAGAGAGGCACCTGCAACCCCACGAGCACAGCCTGAGGCTTCAGATTTAGTCAAATACATTATTGATCATTCTAAAATCTATAAATTAGGAATTTTATCATGAAATATAAAGAAGCATTCACTAAGGACATTACTGGTATGTTTCAATGTGCTTTTCAAAGAAAAGCTTGCATTTCTCTATGTGATTAAATACTACAAATATTTAATCAGTGAGCAAGAAAGAAAATGGAAATGTACAAATTAATTTTTTGTGTTTACTTCTTTTTTGCCCAATCCAGAAAGAAAACTTATACCCCAGCCTCTTTCAGCTTCATATCAGAAATGGAACTAAATAGAACCTTGGACAACACCAGCGACAGCACCTGCACCATTGGAAACTTCAAGAAAGAATTTTACCCAGTCATATACCTGATAATATTTGTCTGGGGAGCCTTGGGAAATGGCTTTTCCATATATGTTTTCCTGAAGACTTACAAGAAGTCCACATCTGTGAATGTTTTCATGCTCAACCTGGCCATTTCAGACTTCCTGTTCATAAGCACTCTGCCCTTCAGGGCTGACTATTATTTCCGAGGCTCTGACTGGAGATTTGGGGACCTGGCCTGCAAAATCATGTCTTATTCCTTGTATGTCAACATGTACACCAGCATTTATTTTCTAACAGTGCTGAGTGTTGTGCGTTTCCTGGCCACCGTACACCCCTTCCAACTCCTGCACACCACCAGCATCAGAGGCGCCTGGATCCTTTGCGGGATCATATGGGTCTTCATCATGGCTTCCTCAGCCGTGCTTCTCAAGCGTGGCTATGAGAAAAACAACGATATCCTACTGTGCCTGGAGCTGAGTTCCCTTAAACTTACCAGGCTGAAGATCATGAACCACATTGCCTTGGTGGTTGGTTTCCTGCTGCCATTCTTCACACTCAACATCTGCTACTTGTTGATCATGCGGGTCCTGTTAAAGGCAAAGATCCCAGAATCAGGTCAGCGGGCTTCTCACAGGAAGGCGCTGACCACCATCATCATTGCTTTGCTCACCTTCCTCCTCTGTTTTCTGCCTTACCACATACTGCGGACCCTCCACCTGGTGTGGTGGAGCCCCGGGTCATGTGGGGAGTTGCAGAAAGCCACCGTCATCACACTGGCTTTGGCTGCAGCCAACAGCTGCTTCAATCCTTTTCTCTATTATTTTGCTGGGGAGAATTTCAAGGATCGATTAAGGGCCATATTCAGAAAAGCTCTTGTTCAGACATCAAAGGCAAAGTGCAGCCTTCCTTTTCGTACCTAGCTCAAAAACAGAATTAAAGAGTGCAAGGAGCTGTTAGGTAGGCGTGTTCATGAATCTTGGTGGCCACCTTCATTTACTCAGTCTCCAAACTACTATTTGCGTCATTCCCAACCAGTCTTGGTTCCCAACATTTAACTGACCACAGCATCTCTTAATAAAACCTATTTCAGAAATTTCATTAATTTTCTTTATTGGTTGAGACTAAATGGGGAAGTGGGAGATAAATATCTACTACAGTCTTGCATGCCATAATGTGATAATTGGGGAAATTTTTCAAGCATGGTAGATCCTTCTTTTCTTTTGGATACTATAGCTCTCTGGCCAATCAGACTTTCAAAATTCCCGGCTTTAAGACATCCTCCCAGGTGAGGTACAGATGCCTTTAATCCCAGCACTTGGAAAGCAGAGACAGGCAGATCTCTGTGAGATGGAGGCCAGCCTAGACTACATAGCAAATTCCAGGACAGCTTGGGATACAGGGAGAGTCTGTCTCAAAACTAAGGTAAAAACAAAGCAACTTCCCAAGCATTTACAACTTTCCATTAAGGCTCCCTTTTTATTAGCTCTCTTGAGGTACAGGCAACTAACAGACCTACAAGGGGCCTCAGTGCAATTAGAAAGGACATCCCAGGAACTCAGGGGAGATTTTAACTTGAAGAAGACTTCCCTGTCATAAAAGAAGTCAGGGCCCAAACAAGGATGGTGAAAGAGGGGAGAAGGATTAATGAAAAAGAGAGTTAATATATAAGGGGAAAGAGGAATTTTATTTCACCCTGGGAGAGGGCTTTTAACATACTGAATACAGGAACACTGGGCCTTTTGCCTCCTTGTCAACGAGTTTAGGAAGAACAGGAGTGGAGGTGTGTCTGGGTCACTCTGGGGGCAGGGGAATTATGTATAGAATAGGGGAGAAGGGGAGTCATGGACATGTATCTCAGTTTTACTTTGAGCCTTGGGTTTGAGCTGATGCCTCTGTAGTCATGGTTCCTGCTCATTAACCCACCAGGATGGGGTGGCAGTTGGAATAAAGGAAGTGGCTTACAGGTTTGAGTTAAGCCTTCAGGAAAAGACTTCAGCAGAACATAGGTAGAGCATATAAACGTCCTTAATTTCTATCCACAGAAACAGGCTACAGATAACTACTAACTACTAACATGACCCTTGTGCTGTGCTCATCAGCTGAGTGCCATCCCCAAGCTGGGAAGCCTGACCAGGCACTATACATTCACAGAACCCTCACACAAAGGCTCTGACATTGCATTTCACACATGAAGAAATGAAAGCTCAGAGAAACTGAAAAGTGTGCCCAAGTTCACACAGCTAGGAAAAGTTTTAAAAGCTTCCTGAAGAATGTGGACTGGGTCCTCTCCCCGCTGCCACTCTGAAAACCCCCAGGAGCACTAGCTGAACGTCTGAGAGCTCTCTCCCACCAGGCATGTATGCTTTTCTCATCCTCATGAGAAAACCAAGGTTATCTCCTTGGAGTTGTTGAGCCCTGACACTGTGAGCGATGCAATGGGAGGGAGGCTGTTAGGCAGTCTTCATAGAAAACTAAGACTCCGGGACCTTCCTTTATTCAGCTATCAGAGTCCATGATGTAATGAATTCCTTTCATTCCCAGACAACATCTCGTCAACTTGCTACAGTTACACTCCTGACTATGAACAACAGTCAATGGCACCACGTTTCAAGGAAGAGCCCCTAACATGTCAGACACCAACAAATAAATGAGGGTGCACATGGGGACAGGTATCTTCAGTAGGAAAGACCCCAATTTTTTTTTTATCATTCTTGCATTTATATCAGAAAGCTACTGGAGATGTGTTCCTCCAAAACAAAAGTTCAAGTCAAGAAAGAAGAAAACATAGCAACCAAGAAAGCAGGAATTCAACGCAGGGGAAAAATGAAGATGATTACCAGGATTCGAAAACAGCTCAGGCAGGTTGTAGCTGGAACTACAGCTACAGTCCCCGTCAGGGGACTCCAGGAGGAACAGCTCAAAGAAGAACAAGAAACCAGCTGAAGAGGTATTTATATCTCTCTTGGAGAGTTGGGGATGAACTAGTGATAAACACATAGGAAAATACACAAGTAAAAGGAGATATCATTATGCGAGAGCATAAAGGAACAGACAAGAAGGAACACTATGTAGTTAACATTTTCACACTTCAGTACACTACGTAGCTAACATTTTCACAGAGAATAATAGCCATATAGCAATATGCTGATATAATCTTTTTCTAAAAGGCAGAGGATATGTGGGGGGGGGGTATAAGAAACTTGAGTTTCCATCTTCCATCAGAACCCAAACTAGAGACTGATAAATAGCTACACAGCATATTATTTAGCAATAGGAAGTAAATACCAGGAAAGGAGCAAAAAGAAGGGCAGGTATTGCCTCTGGGAAGGGCTTGGAGATGGGGAGTTTTTTTTTTTTAAATTAAATTATTTAATAATCACATAATTAGAAGAAGCATTTCATTACAACAGCATTGACATATTCAATAACAATTTCCAGAGCTAAGATGTATCTCTTTCAAAATTGGCTGTAAATTTTTAGGTTTACAGTTGAATTAATACAGTTATACAATATTGTACTCAGTATAAACCATGTAAGACATAAAGTTAAATGAGGTTTTAACCTTTCAAAAAGATCTCCACTTCATTATTAAAATACCCAGTTTCATACAGAAAAATTCATTTTTAATGCAATTAACACTAACTGTTTGCACATGCGTTTCTATATATCTGATTATTACTAGTCACAGTTGGTTACTTTCTGAGCTCTTGGCATCTGAGCATAGATATAAAGTCATCAGGTAGATTTCAATGGTAATGTTTTTTACATCTACTAATTATTAAGGAGCAATTTTTTATGTTTTGAAGAATTATTTTTAATTAAATATTTTAAAAAATTTTTTAGAAGAAACATTTCATTACAGCTTTATCATACTCAATAACAGTTTCCAGAGCAAAGATACATCTCTTTCAAAAGTGGC